GCAAGACACTTGATTGCTCGTACGAATTTTAGCTAAGAGGACAATTTGGTTTAATCAATACAGTTTAAAATAATTCTGACTCTTGCCAGGATAGCATTAGTTATACAAAAGAAGAAAATTGTTAAATGCAACAAATTTCTAGAGATTACTCGGTATTAAATTTTATTTTTGTTCCTAGGGAGACGCGTCGAATGTTGGAAAGAGTGGTATATCAGCCTGGGTATCCAGAAACCATAGTATCAGTTGCACGCTGGTACCTCCTAAGGCATTTATATGCCAAAGATGATTATGAATTAATAGATGTAAGAGTCAGTCTATATCTATACAGATGTATGCAAATACCAATCATATTGACTAGCTTTCTATGCTAGTCCCCATTTATAGAAATATTTATGGGGTGTGTTATGGAATCCTTCCAGGATTTGGGAAGCAAAAGCATAATATAATTCCAGCTTTGTGTGGAGCCAGTGCTTCAAATCAAAGCTGCACCATGACTGTCAGGCAGAGTCAGCATAACTAATTGTGACTGAGACTGGATGCTGGCCAATTGTGCACTTCCATCTTGTTTAAGACTGAGATCTTACAGTAAAAAATTGAGGTTACACGATAATGTATTGCAATGCTTCTTAGATTGTCAGCCCCAATACAGATGCAGACATAGGTCAAGACAGAATGGGGGGGGGGGGGATTTGTTTTAATTACTATTGAATGTTGCTAAAACAAGTGTAAAGAGTAAATGTGAATGCCGCCAGCACATCCAAAATAGCATGTGAACTGCTCTCTAAATCTTCATATTTTGACTGTAATATCAGAAGCAAGATATTTAACTGTGAATTTTAAGGGAGTGGTGTTGAAAGTTCCTGCTCCACAATGCATTTTACATTTTTAGATCACATCTAGGGCAAAATTCTTCTGAGTTCCATGGTTAGACAAGCATTATGGGACTCCAGCTAAAAAAGAGTTGGCAATACAGAGTTCTCAATATGATTTCAGTGTGGATTCATTGCACTCCATTCTGAGCAATCATTATTAGCGAGAGTTTGACCGAGAGCTCAAAGAGGAGTCATAAAAATGTCTAGTGTATGGATCAGGAGGGATTTTCTTAAAGAAAAATTGAGTTTGGCTAAGTGACCACAGGGAGTGAGGAAGTGCCAAGCAGAACCTATGAACATCTGTAAAAACTCTAAGCTGGAGAGCTCTTCTTGAATAGTACAAAGGCCTCAAGTCGGAGTCATAGAATTAAATTCAGAATGGGAAACCTTAAACTGTCAGGAAAAACCTCCTGACAATGTTATATAAGTAGGCGGTGAGAGGGCCCCATCACATGGATCATATATAAAGTTAGACCTACCAAATACCCGTAAGGGTCCTGCAGGGAGCAACCCTGCATTGAGAGGCCATATGACCTAGTTGGTCTCATATCTTCAGTATCTTCCCTCCTGTAAGTGAATCACTTAGTTGGAAAACTGACCTCCGCCCCAAGCAACAAATGATGTCTTGCATTGTAGTGGTTGCAATTTAGTTTTTAAGGCATTAAGCAAACTATTGCATAATACTGAAATATCCCATTTATCTCTGGATATTTAGGTTGCTTAGGTTTCTTGGGGAGCTGAATAGGAGAGAATCAAATATTTGGGAATCAAATAACTTTTTTTTTTCTTTTTCTTTTTTTTCTTAATTTTCCCACAGGCACTTGTAGCGAATGCCAAAGCTAATGGAGATATTAGATCTCTGGAACTAGACAAGAAATTATCAGCATCTGCCTAGCATGGACTTCTTTCAGTGGCCAACCAGAAGGAAAAAGTCAGAGGAAATTCATGAAACCTAATTCACACTACCTGCCAGCAAATATTTTTTTTTAAGTGAAAATCATTTTTTGTTAGACAAAAACAAATTGCTTTTAAAATATTTTTTTAAGATGGACACTGCCATCAACCTGTTTTTCCTTTACTTAAACAAAACTCAAGTTCATTTAATGTGTATTTTTCCTCACTGATACATTTATGTTATGCTGCTGCAATGGAGAATCCATTTTTTTTTCTGTTGGAGTTTACAGCAGACGTCCCTGCTCCTCCCATGGACACTGCTTATCATTTTGCACTTGCAGTGGTGCAAAGCAGGACAAGTTTCTACTTTTTCAAACAAAGCCTTAAGTTGTCAAAGTAGTATGCAAATTCATATTTTTTAAGTTATTCCCAACTGTTGTAACTTGCAGAAATCTAAGCTTTCTATAATGTTCATTATATTACAATTAGAATTCAAATACATTTGCAAATCCACATGCAGTGGTGGGAAGCAAAAAGATACGTAACACTGTAACTGATTAGGTTGCAGACAGGAGGAACCAGATTTCTACAACATACTCTGGTCAAGGAAAATATAAATAAGTAAAACTGAGATTTTGCACAATGATCCGGTCCATGGATATATTTATAAATGTGTATGGCAATTTGTATTTATGATTTTTTGGTAACCCTGCTGTTGACGGCTTATTTGGATTAATCATGATGATAATTCTTGACGCATGATGCAATTCTGCCCTGTACTTACTTGTAATTAAAATAAAATGCAATGAATCTAGTCTGAGTATTTTGTTGTAAACAATTAGGAACTTACTATATGCAGCACGTATATTTAAATATGTGTTAATTTTCAAGTTTGAACAGGTTGGCTGGCCTGTTGCTCTTAAATTACTCAAGGGAGGAATGGCAAGGGTCTTCTACTATTTCCTTCTCCCACAATCTGCCATGTAAGACATTTTCCTTAAGGTGATTGGTCAGATAGTTAATGTGGACTGAATGTAGCTCGGGGGGAGGGGAGGGGAGAGTAATTGCTTCTCTCTCTAGGGTCCCACTCTCCCTTTGCAGTCTTTGGTTCTTGGCTCAAACTCCACAGGGACTGACTAGGGATCCGACTCTTAAACTTGCTTGCGTACATCATGTAGTGTTACACTATCACTAGCCACCATCCTGTTTCTGCCCACTCATTTGGATTTTTTTTTAAACTGACAATGTTGTAAATTCCATGCCTTTGTGGTTCATATCAGTTGTCATTTTAGCAATAATCCTGTAGGATGATCTCATCACCTTATACATCAGCAGATTTAGGATTTTAATAATTACTCTGACTAGGGCATTATGGCCTAATGTGCTCCTTCTATTCCTCCATTTTTTTTCTCACCCACAAGCTTTCTGTATGCCACCCCTATTTTCAGGGGCTCTCTCCATTGCCCTTGCACCTGCCCCTATGCCAGAGTCCCTGTGTGCCCTCATGACATGGTCCTCCATTCTTCCGGTCAGTGTTTGTGTCCCCATACCAGAGGCTCTGTTTCCCCTATTTCCCCCACAGCCAATACACTGTTCTTATTTTGTCTATCCGGTTTTCTTTCAGCATCATCACTTTCAAATTGTATTGGGAGGATCAACTGGGAGGTACTGTTATGCAGAAATGTGTTTAAAGGTCTGCCCTCAACCACTTTTTTAATCTATAGATAATTCTAGAGGTGGTTGGAGCTGCTGGCTCTGCTAACCAGACTCCTGAGAGGCTCTACCTTTCCCTTCCTTTCAGTTTTATCACATTACAGGCAAACAGACAGAGAAATGCTTCTGAGTTGAATGTTAGACCTTACTTCACTCAGCCAGTAAATCTAAAGACAATGTGTATTCTAATGTCAGGGTGGGGGAATAGGAGAATGAATGTCTCCAGTCTGTCATTAGCATTAGTTATCAAACATATAACTTCAGTAATAACTGTTATTGGACCAACTTTTGTTGGTGAGAGAAACTTTTGAGCTGCATTGTTTTTCTGGTCTGGGAAATGTACTCCATATCACAGCTAAATAGAAGGTGGAACAGATTAAGCATAAGGAGTTAACACATGTTAATTGCCTACTTCATCTTGAACCATCTCTTGCAACACCTCTGCAATCATAGGACAAAGGAGGGTTAGTCGGTTCAATTGTTATAATAAGACAAAACCAGGGTCTCCAGAGAACAATCTGTTCCACCTTGTATTTAGCTGTGACACTGAGTACCATTCCCAGACCTGAAGAAGAGCTCTGTTAACTCAAAAGCTTGTCTCTTTCACCAACAGAAGTTGGTCCAGTAAGAGGTACTACCTCACGTCATGGGACAAACATGACTACAACAACACTCTGAATAAGTCATCTAACTCTCAATTGTAGATGTTCTTCATGTATTAAAACTATGCAACGCATGCTATGGTGCTTAGCATTTCATCAGACAACAAAAGTTACTTTCAAAGTAACAATGCTGTCTCCTTCAAATTAGAAGAAACTATTAGTTGACATTTCTGACAAGATAATTTTATAGCCCAAAGCAATTTATTATACACATTGAAGAAAGAAAGCAAGGTGTAGGTAGTGAAGATAATGTGCAAACTGTTAAGGGAAGGCTCTAATTTAAATTCATTAAATCCAAGAAATAGAAGACAAAGCAAGTGTGCAGCCTCCAGGTGTAAAGGTATGCAAAATGTCTCTGTGTCCTGTGCAAAAGAATTCCAGGTTTGCTGGACAAGTTTTAGCAATTCATTCTTCTGTAGATCTTGAAGACCTTTACTAATTTTACAGATGGGGAAACAGCTATAGTGATGAAGTGACTTAGCTAAGGTCAATGGTAGAGATGGGAATGAAAAACAGGTCCACTCATTCCTAGGCAGGTTTGCCATGTAGTGGTGCATACTGCCTTCTTCTAAAGCAGAAATAGGGTGAAATTCTGGCACTGGTGATGTCAAAGACAAAACTCCCATTGACTTCAATGGAGCCAGGATATCATCCATGATACTTAAAGTCCCTTATATACACATGAAATAAAATCAGTTAATGAGAATTTTTTTTAAAAAAAAAAATCTGTATACGCTGTCTCTGTGAATCTCCTACTTAGAGGTGGAAAGCATATTGCCCCTCAATAATCCTTTCACCAAATAGGATTTTCTTATTCAAGCATTGTTTCACACATAATTAAATCACAAAACATGACCAGCACACTGATCTAATATATTTAGGTATTCTGTATAGTTTAAATGAAAGCAAAGCATTTGTGAAGGATAGGAACAGCCTTATAACCAATACAAACAGTTTTGATTGGAAAAAAACAATAGTAACAAATAATTCCACCTGTCCTGCAAATAGGGTTATGGTTATCTGACACTCCAAAGTACTCTGCGCTGCCTATAGCTTTGGAATCTCTCTTTTGGCTTAATGCTATGTAAATAACATTTTAGACCAAACTCTTTCTTTTTTTAAAAAAAAGCATAAGGCCCAGCCCTACATTTTTCTTGGATGTGAACTTCCAAGATTGGGCCTTGAATTCTGTTATCTGCCTTGCCATCTGGCCAGACTAATATGCCTTCCACAAAGCCAGCCAATGAGGAAAAGCTGCGACCAGCCATGAACCTTTGGCTGGCTGTGAAGCGGAGTATAAATTGCATCATGCGGAAAAGAAGGCTTTTGATCATGTCTTTTTGCACAAAAACTGCCCAATCAGCAATAGCAGTAGTGAAGCTCATCTAGCATGTTTATTTCACATGAAATTTTAATTCTAAATGTCTCAAACTTGCAATGTAATCATGCAAATCAATACTTTGTGCTGTAGCATGAAGGCAAGAGTAATCTTGTCCAAAGGAGGGCATAGAGGGGAAAAGGAGCCTTCCCCAGCCAGTCTGCACACCTGCAACTGTGGTCTTCCCCTTGTGTCAGGTTTAGGCTCTCTGTAGGATGCGCTGGATCCATCCAAACATCTGAGGCATACTGTGCTACTTTGGAATAAATTCCTCAGTGGCCCTATATTTTGCCATAACTTCATGGCTTATACAAGTAATGTTATGGCACCTAGTAGTGTCACCTTCATAGGCAGGGACTAATGTGAGCCCTATAGGATGAGTTCAGAAGACAGCTGGGCAAGGGTCTGTAGAAGTATATTAGGATTGCAGGTGGCACTATAGATTTTCTGCTATTCCCTGAATATGTGTGACACAGAGTGATGTGCTATTAAAGGGTTGCCAAGATGGGAGCAGCAAAGTGTTAAGTGCAGACACCTGTCTCATAAGAGTGCTACCTGCAAGGCCCAATGTGAGTCAAACGTACCAAAATTGAAACACAGAAGGAATTCATTTGACATTGGTCACTATTTGTCTTTACACCATTTCCTGTTGTGAGTCTATTTTTTTGCATATACCATAGAAAAGGAAGGTTTCCTTGCAGCGAGAAAAGTATATTTGTTACTGAATTGGAGTCTCCTGTTATCTGTACTGAGGCCCATTCATCAACCATGCTGTTAAAGAGGCTATGCAGGGCCCCTGCCTGAGGAACTTTTCCCTGAGTACTGTCCTAGACAAACATGGAAAACCAGAGCCACTAGGATTATCGGAGTTCTATCCCATTTGATTTGCTGGAGAGAGGCTCAGAGACAATGAATTTATCAGTTGTAGTACAGAGTATCTACCACAATTGCATTGTGGTCATTTTCCCTCCCCCACCCTGGCAAAATTGTCTCCGATGTCAGTGGACTGAAATTTAGTGTGTACTAGTGCCTCAGAATCCTGGAACCTGAATTACCAGGTAAACTTATTTCAGGGTTGTTCCCTTTTTTAAAGTTGAAGCAGATAAAAAGGTGTTTAAGATTTTATTTTACCCACTTTAATGATCAAGAAGCTAGGTATAACCATCACCTTCTTTCCAGGAACCAGAAAAGCAGCTTGGAAATAGATACCATATTTCTGATAATGCAAAAATCATCATCTTGCCTTTGATCGATCACTTGCACCAGTTTCCTTAGCTGCATTGAATGACTCAACTTCTCTTCATCTCGAACCCGAATTACACCGCACCAAATGTTCTGCTATATTCTAGAGAGACTGAGGCAAGGATTGCTATTCTTCCTTCAACTGCCATTGAATATTAATGGACTTAAGTATATACATAGAGCAGTACTAGGAGAATTTATTAGGCCCAATTTTGATTTTAGTTGCAGTAGTGTAAAACAAGTATAATTTAGACCAGAACTGGGCTTGTTATGCTTAAGAATTTCAGGGCACTAAATGGAGAGGTAGATCCTAGAAATCCCAAAATAAGAGCTAATGTTTTGTGAAATATCCCTTTCAAATTTGTCAGTCCTTAATCTTTATTTTCTTGTCACACTGACCTTGCTTCAACATATTAAAACAAGACAAAAATCACCAAAACTGATTTTCTTTAGTGTTGCACTAGATCATGAAGGTTCTACTATAAAATATGATTTAAGCAGAGCAGTAACATGCTATGGAGACATGAGGTTTTCTTTGTTTCAGTTTTTAAGCCAACAGTCCTGTTAAGATGAGAGAACAATGGCAAATGCTGAAAAAACTTCACTCTTCCTGAAGTTCAGTTACCTTGCATTGTATTTTTTTTATGTCTTTCTGGAATTTCTTTTTTTCTAGTTTCAGTTTTGTCATCTGTATTCGTTGGAGTGAGTTGAGAGCTTCATGAATGGACTGAAATCCTGGTGTAAAAATAGGTATATTTAGTTAAATTATGGTCAAAGGTTTTTATGCAACCTTGCAGTAATTAGCTACCATTTAATCTAAAATCCATTCAGGCCATTCTAACTATCTAAGCTGTTTTATTGCATGTCATGGAGATGCTTTAGCATTTTAAATGATAACCTCCTTGGTATTGGAATCATGTCTTCGTGCATACTGGGCAGCACCAAACAACTGGTAGTGCTCCCAAAATTATAGCAATATTACTGGAACTTGTATCACATTTATTGGCTGTGAAAATTGAATTCTATACGATGTCCAAAAAACCAAAAATGAAGTCCTGCTTGTATTGAAGTTACCTTTTACCAGTTGTGCAGTTTCACTGTTAAAAGCATGACTAATGCACTGTTTATCCAGTAACTGAGTTGTAAGTCTATAATCCTTACTTTTGGACTCATGAAATTCTCTAATTACATTTACATACCCTTGGAGGCATTGCTCCTGCAAGTGACAACATGGCAAGAGATCCCTGCACTTGCCCAGAGCCTCTCCTTGAAGTCAAGGGAGCGGAGTATCATCCCACATGCTATCAGTTGCCAACGTAGAACCTAATATGATAGTTTTAGCCAGCAACACTGTAAAGTAGGCAGAGCCTTTCTCAGGGCTCACCCTCAGGTAGCTTCAAAGCCCTTTCCCTCTTTCTAAAGTCTTTTGGGGTTGTGATAAGGCTTGGGGCAGCAGAAGTTTGTCAGCTGTTTCCCTTTCAGCTCCTTGCGAGGTGCAGCTCCTTCCCTCCTGGTTGCCACCCCTTCCTGTGACCCGCTGTCCTTTTTAAGCTTGCTTTCTCCAACTGCCACAGCAGGCTGTGTAGGTGTGTCTATTTGATATGAATTGAGCCCAAAGGAGCTCATTAGCCTTCTCCTGATTGGGATGGGGGTGTGCTCCATCACAGACAGGGTTGCTGGAGGGCTGGTGTCTGACTCAGACAACTCATCACCTGTTAATAGGTGGCAATGTCAGACAGTGACTATAGTTCCAGTCGGGATACATAAAATTATTTCATTTCAAGCAACTGGATGCTAAACTTTTAGCTTTGGTGTGTCCCCTCCAGGTAGTGGAGTTCATGCCAAGAAATCCAACACTGAGAACAATTCTGAAGGAGAGCGAGTCTTGGAAGTAGTCACTACTTTCTAATACACTATATGGTATCACTAAGAATAAAAAGACAGTTTTGATGGAAATCATACATGCATTTTTGAGATAGGTATATAGAAGGCCCTCATAACAGTAGTATCTGAGCTTCCCCTTATCCCAAGTAAATATGTAAAGAAAGAGGTTAGAGTTGATAGGTTCTATCAATTCTGAAATAGATTTTTAAAAAAAGCTGGTATGCTTGGAAGTTTATCAACATTTCATTGTAATGTGGCTAACCAGAGACTGGAAGGTTTTGAACAATTAGATTTATCCATCCCTGTTTGCAAATTACAGGCTCTCTCAAATGGGCAAACGTCAGAGAGGATTAGTTTGTAAATTTGTCAGAATAGATGCTTGATTTTCTTGCTAATTAACATCTTAACCATAGTTTCCAGCCAACCGTCCTCTTTTTAAAAATAAAGTATCTACTTGGTAGCATGACAGACGGTCACTTTTTTTTTTTGCTTTTGAAAGTGTTGTTTAATATGGAGTTCATTTGATCAGCGCCGCTCTTCAGATATGATTTAAGCAAGTAATTGCAGAGTATTTAAAGTTATAAAAAATCCAAACAGATTTCTCATATTTCAGACATTTCCAAGATATCTTGGCTTTTATACTGTCTCAGCAGTGTATAAGCATCAACAGCAGCTATTGAGACGGCATTAAAATTACAAAGAAAGTGCTCTTTCTTCTTGTGTTTCTCCATACCTGTTCTTCTTATTTCTTGTCATCCCCACCAGATAGTTAGGAAAGAAAGAGTTACTGGGGAAGTGTTTACAGAAAAGCTGGGTTTTGGCATTTTGATCTGAAGATGGCTGGATTTGGGTTTAGCCTGATTATCTCTGACATGAAGTTCAGCAACCAAGGACTTGCTGCTGAGAATGCTCATCCTTCAGCATCTGAATTTTTAAATTCAGGAATTTTCTAATTGCATCATCCTGCTAGATCCTGTCATGCCAGGTTGTGGATGGTAAGGTGGTCTTTGAGATAGCCAAGTCCAAATCTGTGAAGGTCGTGGTAGAACACGACTAGGTTAGAATTTGGTCTGCAAGTGCACTGGTGGATGTCACTAGCATTCATCATAGAACACTGAACAGGTATGCGTGTGTCTGTCTGTTTAATCTAATTATCAGTGTACAGATTTGTATTGTGCCACTCTTTGTAGCAAGTTGAAACTTCAGAAGGACCTTGTTATCTGCTGCCTTAGGTGAAAATATACACAGCTACACATCATCAAGCAAAGATCTCAGTAACAAGGTTCTTGTGCAAATAGAAAGGCTGCAGCCTCCTGATTAGCTGATGACGGAAGAAAGGATTCTCACTGTTAGATGCAGCCCCTAAGGCAGAGTTTGGAAACCAGATTCAGGCCTCCAGCTACAAGCTACAAAAGGACAGTGTCACCATGGGAAAAGGAAACTGGAGTACCGGATTGTGGTGGGCTATTGTAATGTCTGTCAGCAGTAACAGGCAGTGAGGAAAAACTATTTGAAAAATAGTTATATGGCACTAAGGAAGAAAGGCATATTTTGGTATTGTTCCCATTTGACTAGGAAGCATGTTACAGTCCTATACAAATATAACAAATAAACCCTTCTTACCTGATCTATATTCATTCTGGATTTCCTCCAGCTCATTCCAGATCTGTCTTTCAAATCTAGTAATTCTTGCATGCAGTTTATTTTCATATTTTGTCACCTGGCTCAGCGCCATTTCACATTGCTGTGGTTTATTATTCTCTAGCTTTAGCGAGAGGTGAAGGTTTTCTTCCAGTTTCTTTTCTGCTGCTTCCTTTTAAATAGATATCATGTGAACATCACATAAATACCAAAGTTAATAAGGCTAGGTCTACACTTATGGCAGTCTATAGAGTACATACACTGAACACCCACCTAACAGGAGTATAAGTAGCAGTGTAGACTGTGAGGCAATGCTTAGGTGAGTAAAGACACACTAGAACCTTCAAGTATATATCCCTACATAGCAGTCTACAGTCCCATGTTTACACTTGTTTTTAGCAGTGTAATATCCCACTGCCTCCCTGCTGCCGGAGCCTTTCCCTGCTGCAAGGAAAGGCTTTGGCAGTGGGGAAAGGCTCTGACAGCTCCACACTGCTGGAGCTTTTGCCCACTGTCAGAGCCTTACTCGGGTATGTGTAGTTGGACACATGCCCTGCATGTGTCCATCAGTGTTGAGAGGGCCTCAGAGGATTACATTGCTCACCAGAAAACTGGTTTAACTCAGGCTGGCCAGCCAAGAGGCAGTTTTCTTTACCTTTGAAATCCACATAGACATTATAATATTAACTAAATAAATGTTGCTGGAGCCTTATACCCATGCAGGATGTCCTCCAACCCTCCCCCTGAGATTCAGGGGGTGAGACAGGGTGGAATGGAGGCTGGTGCGGGGCATTTAAAAAAACAAACAAACAGCGATTTAGTCCATGATTCACCTTGGAATTCACACTCCCCTGCAGCTTTCTGTTACTGTGCTTCTCTCACATGAAACTTCCTAGCCCAAAGTGTTAAACATTAAGGAACAAATCCAGAGCCCAGCATGAGTAGCCAGTCTAGAGCTGAAGTAGATGTGCAGTTAGGGGCTGGAGAGAAATCCTTTCCCACACATAAGCCTACTGGCTGCAGTAGCCTCTGAAGGCTATTACACAGCTCCTGGGGGGCATGAAGGGAGGGGTTTTGTGGCTACCCTCTGCCACCTCCCCCTTGCTCTGCACACTGCAGTACAGGGAGCCTTGTGGCTCAGAGCTGTGTCACGCTATGGTCAGCATCCCCTGGTCTTACACAGCAGAATGGCATAGTTCTGCTCCCAGGGGACCCTGCAGAGGCAGTGGCAGGCTTTGCCTCAAAAATAAAATGTTTACAAACAGCAGTGTTGTTGAAACCTAACCAGAGTTTGTTTAAACCAATACACTAAACTTTGCATGTACAAATATTGAAATTATGTACAGGTGGCTGATGAAGTGAGTCATCTCCCAGAATAACCTACGGCTGTTCTGCACTCATTAAACAGTTCCATCCCATCGCATGTAAACTTCGAGCCTAATCTGTGCTCATGTTCATACAGCTTCTGTATGTCACATAAGTGATGAGTAAGCAATTGTACCCTCTCTGTTTCAAAATATGTAGAGCCTGGACAACGGGATGTAATAGTTGGCTTAGCAGTTACGGCCTGATCCTGATTGGCGTCAAGTACCCCCCCAAAGATATGATCCGAACTTTCGTGAGTAGCTTTGAACACTCCATCGCCTGCTACACACTGCTGTTCCCTCTGAGGTTCTGCTTTGAAGATTCCTCGAAGTCCCACCCAGACAACTGCATTTCCAGCTGTGTTTTCATGAAACAACCACCACCACCGGACAGTTTGGCTACTCCAGAGAGAGAAACTATGCTCTGTCCTATTTCTTCTATTCAAAAGTAGTGCTGCAAGCTCAGGCTAATGTTGACTATGTTTTGGCACAACTTTCATACAATCTCTCTACAGAGAAAAAAGCTGCTGTGTTTTATAGGGCTGGAAATAATATTTTTAGTGTCTTCTCTATTGCACTGTATCATTAATAGTAAATAAATTTGATTTATTCAGTACAGTAGATGATTGGATAGACTAAGTTATAGAAGCATTTTGTTCAGGATTCAAATTCAAGGACATTTTCATAGGAGTTTTGTTTGGAACTCAGTGCTATGTCCTCTGCCACACCCAAGATCATACCTGCTGCTGCTGCAAATCATAATAATGTATTTGATGTTGAACCCTGCAGCAGGATGTAGTGTATTTATCAAAAGACCAGAAAAAGCTTTCCGAGCTTTAAAAGAACTAATTAAAATGTATTACTCAAGTATCAATTCCCAATTATTCCTATTAGGGCTGTCGATTAATTATAGTTAAATCACATGATTAACTCAAAAATTGTGATTAAAAATTAATAGTGATTAATTTCAGTTTTAATTGCACTGTTAAATACCCACCAAAATTTATTAATTTTTCAAATATATTGCTTTCAATTACAACATGGAATTCAAGTGTTCAGTGCTCACTTTATATTATTTTTATTACAAATATTTGCACTGTAAAAAATGATAAAAGAAATAGTATTTTTCAATTCACCTCATGCAAGTACCTTAGTGCAATCTCTTTATTGTGAAAGTGCAACTTACAAATGTAGATTTTTTGTTGTTACATAACTTCATTCAAAAACAAAACAATGCAAAATTTTAGAGCCTACAAGTCCACTCAGTTCTACTTCTTGTTCAGCCAATTGCTAAGACAAACAAATTTGTTTACATTTACAGGAGATAATGCTGTCCTCTTCTTATTTACAATGTCACCTGAAAGCGAGAACAGACAAACATTCACATAGCACTTTTGTAGCCAGCATTACAAGGTATTTAAGTGCCAGATATGCTAAACGTTCCTATGCGCCTTCATGTTTTGGGCACCATTCCAGAGGACATTCTTCCATGCTGATGATGCTTGTTAAAAATATAATGCATTAAACAAACTTGTGACTAAACTCCTTGAGGGAGAATTGTATGTCTCCTGCTCTGTGTTTTACCCGCATTCTGCTATATATTTCATATTACAGCAGTCGTGGGTGTTGACCGAGCATGTTGTTCGTTTTAAGAACATTTTCACTGCAGATTTGACAAAACACAAAGAAGGTACCAATGTGAGATTTCTAAAGATTGCTACAGCACTTGACCCAAGGTTTAAGAATCTGAAGTGCCTTCTAAAATCTGGAAGGGATGAGGTATGGCACATGCTTTCAGAAGTCTTAAAAGAACACCACTCCGATGCAGAAACTACAGAATCTTAACCACCAAAAAAGAAAAATCAACCTTCTGCTGGTGGCATCTGACTCAGATGAAAATGAAAATGCATTGTCTGCCCTGCTCTGGATCATTATCGAGTAGAACCTGACATCAGTATGGACATGTCCTCTGGAATGATGGTTGAAGCATGAAGGGACATATGACTCTTTAGCACATCTGGCATGTAAATATCTTGCAACACCATCTACAATAGTGCCATGTGAATGCCTGTTCTCAAGAAGCAGGCAGCATTATCTACTGCAAATTGTAACCAAACTTATTTGTCAAAATGATTGGCTGAACAAGAAGTCTGAGTGGACTTGTAGAATTATGTACAAAAAATAACTGCACTCAAAAATATAAAAATCTTTAGAGCCTACATTTGTAAGTTCAAATTTCATGATAAAGAGATTGCACTAAAATACCTGTATTAAGTGAACTGAAATTTTTACAGTGCAAATATTTATAATCAAAATATAAAGTGAGCACTGTACGGTTTGTATTCTGTGTTGTAATTGAAGTCAATATATTTGCAAATGTGGAAAACATCCAAAAATATTTATATAAATGGTATTCTATTATTGTTTACCAGTGCGATGAATCTTTTTAATTGCACGATTAATCATGATTTTTTTTTAAACTGCCTGACAGCCCTAATTCCTATGAAATTTAAGATTTGGTAAGCTGGAGGTTTTGAACTGAAACATGTTTATGAAATTCTGTAGAGACAAATTTTGTACATCCTATAAATCATGTATGTGATTTTTAATGTGCACTAGCAATCTTTGAGACTTGTGTTTGTAAGAACCAAAGGAAGAAGTTTGCTAAATATATTGCATTCTCTCCAGGAATGTTCTTGGGATGCAAAGAAAGAATCCTTAACATCCTTCCAGCTGTATTATGCTCGAAGTTTGATTCATCAGTCCAACAAAATAAACCTTCATTTCCAGACCCTGAGAACAGGGATTTTCTGAAGCTAAGCACTAATACTGAAGAATGCTTCAGTGCCTTACACAAATCACAGTGGCTCTAGACCTTTGGTGCCTGAGCTCAAAGTGAAAGTGGTGTAAGTTCAGGATGTGAATTTTGGTACTTTGAACTGTGGGCTGTTTACTATTGATAGGAGAGTTCTGGTATGGTTGGGTGAACTATGTCTCAATCCATGCTGGGGGCCCACAGTATCCAGAGTTAAAGGAATAGCAAATATAAAATGTACTGCATTAGTTTTCAGGTGAATATTCTAGTTCATAGAAGGACATTGTCTATTGTATATCTTGGCAGTAATTTTGAATGTACTGAGCCCAATTACACAAAATGAAAAATTGATTTGTGGAGTACTGCATTACCAGGAATTCTACTATCACTCCTGCAAGCCTTCTCTTATCTGCATCTGTTCTACCTCTTTACTCATCTTTCATATTCTCCACTCTGCACCCCTTTCTCTCCCTTTTAGTTTCACACTCCTTTAATCCTCCCTGCATTCTTCAATCTACCCTGTTTCCTCCCCCTTGCCTCGGGTCTTCCTGGGGCTCTGCTGAAAAGTGTGATTTCAGGAAAAATATTTTGCCAGACTTCAGGTGGAAGAATTTGTTTGTTCTACCTAACCATTTTGAAGCTTTAAACACTGAAGTTCTTCAGCTATTTCTAAGATGATGGAGAGGAAGGAATGTTAAAGAATAATATGGTGGATGTGGCCCACCTTTTATTTGTGTTTAATTTTCTAAAATGCTTTGTCTGAATACAATGATCATTGAAGGGGCAAGTATGAGACAGCTGGAGTCCTCTGTTTATTCATAGCACAGTTTCAGCATGGATGGGAACAGCATGAGCTTCTCCATTTTGATCCAGCCACGTATCTCAGCTCTGGCTGTCAGGTACCACATGTGTAGAATGCTCTTAGGCACTCAGTCCTTGGTTTCTCTGATGAGAATGTCTGAGGATGCCAAATGTGGTAGTGGTTTTTGTGATGTGGACAACTGTCCAATGGAAAAATAGACTTAGAGCACCAAGCACAGAGACCATTGAACAATCAGATGGTAGCTTTTGGGCAGTACCACCGTGAGATGGATTTGGAATTGACAACATAGAGACTAAAGATTTTATATTGCATTACCAGTCCATTTCCATTCTTTGGTCATTTTACTGACAGAGTTGTGCTTCTGGGGCTTAAGGGTTTTGACTTTGCATCTCTGGAAATTTTTATGGAATCAAATCTTTGGGGTTTCTCTTGTAATCAGTCTGAAAGGTCTAGAAATCCATACTATTTTATCAGTCTGGGATTATAAAACATCTTACCAGTCTCTCCTTCATTGCATTAAGAAACTGATCTTTATGGGAGGCTTGTTCTTGTTCAGATCGCCTCAGCTGGATTTCTGTCCATTTTTGTTGGTCCTGAATTTGATCCCGGAGGTCATTTAGAAGACTATTCACCCTAATATTAAGAAGGTTTAATCTTTTAGCAATATATCTGAGTTTTAGTCAATATTATGTGAAAACCTTAGTCACTCGAGTAAATTGTTAACAACAAGCCAGGCTGGCTTAGTTCTGATGCACGTTGTCATCTGGGGGAGAAGACTGGAGAAGTGAATGCGTGTAATAGTTTATTTTCCCATTCCAATCAAATTTATTCTTGAAATGGATTGGTTCTATTCCATTTCTAGTCATATCAGGGATCCAACTGGTTGTGGTCACTACAGTATCGGGCTGAGCATACCCTATATTGTTGGCACCAGGAAGAGCAGCAAAGTCAGGGCTGAGCTGGAAATGGAAACATGGAAAGACAGAATAGAAGCTTGTGAGAGTACAAGGAGATCAGTTTGCCTTGGGGGCGTATGAGAGTCTGGAAGTCCTCCAAAAAGACAGACGATAAAGTCCAGAAAGCAGACAAGGGAGGGAGAGGGAGAGGGATTGAGGCTAACAGCTCAGAAATCAGAGCTGTGAACAGTGTCTAGTTAGAGGGGGCTGTGTGCTTTAGACTTTGGTCTTTTTATGCTGCAAAAATGTGATATAATGTACATTGTGAGCTATATTACAGAGATGATTTTAGGACCAAGTTTCAGTTATAAGTGTAAATTTCCAAGCTTTTGTGGGTGACCTGACCTTAAAGAGTATTAGAAAATAATATTTTCTATGCTAATTTCTGACATATTTGTTCTCCTGTAAACTGACTCCTGGAATTCTAATTTGAGCGGTACTACTGAGTAAGTGCACAGCTCTGGGGCAAGCCAGCTGGGCTTTTGTGCCTCAGTCAAAATATAAAACAGAAGCTTATAACAAAGCATTCCTGGAAGGCACATTTACTTGTAATTCTAAAGTTCAAATATCATCCTAAAAAAATTGAGACTTTTTTAAACAATGCTACAGGTACAGTGTTATTAGTCTGGTGGTAGAGATAATGGTAATTAACAGTAACTGAGATTCTGAAAACAAGAACAGAGCAATAGTAAATGACTTGCTATACATGGAATTTGACATCAGTTCTTGCCTGTAGCTCACACCTATCAAGAGCTATTTTAAATAATGCATTGGGTCATTTTGTTATTGACAAAAAAAAAAACAAACAATTGCAAGAGATTGTTCTGAAAGTTCAAGAATGAAAATTTGAGCAATTTTCTCTATCATATCAATGGACTCATTTTCTGGAAAGAGGAGCCCCCCCCCCCCATTTATCAAGAAAAATGATAACAATCCTGTACTACAAGTTTTTCCCCATAGTCAGTGATAAGCCAGGGATGAATAGGCTTGCAGAAAGGAGTGGTGAGGGACCAGAAAAAAATCAGTTCATTCATTTTCTCTGCCCACTTAAGAGCAATAAGTTTCCTCATAATCCTGCAGTCTTTCCTTACTTATAGCTATTCAAAATGCTGCTGCAAATATTTTCCTGGCTCATTGTTTCTCTGTAACATCTCTCTTTGCATGCCTCCACTGGCTCCCCTTTAACACAAACTAATCTTCTCTGCTTTAAGGCCCATCATGGTTTATCCCTGCCTTACCCATCATCTTTTATATTACTACTGAGACACCACTCTTGCCTCCACTATGCCATTCTTCAGCATCCATTTGTAAAGTTTTCAAAAAGCATCTTCACATTTCCTCCCTTGCCAGCCCTCCCACATAAAAGATCCCTGTAAACAACCACTAAGCTACCTCATTGGCCTCCTTCAAAGCCCCCCCTAAAACGCTCTCCTCTGCATGATGTCTATAAAAAACCTCAACAATGATTGGTCAGTTGGCATGCTATGACCGTTTCACTAGTCTAACTATTTCTTTGAGCTTCCCCACTGTTTGTTGTATCCACCTGTTATCTCTTGTTTTACTGTTAGCTCTTTGGGTGAGGGACTGTATTTTCATTGTGCTTTATAGAACCTAGCACACAATTGGGGTCCCTAGGTACCACTGGAATGCAAATTGTAATCAGGGAGATAATATACATTTTTTTGCCAAGTGGTGTTGCTTAAGTGCTTTTCCTGGAAATGTTTTTACTTGCTCCTGAGAAAATACACTGAGTGTATTGAGATCATACAGATAGTATGGTACAGTGGTCAACCTGAGCAATTTAAAGGGAGTCAGGAGGGGAGATATAATTGGTATTACTGAAAAGTGAGTGGGTGAGTCACTTGACTGGAATGCTAAAGCTCATATTTAGGAAAGAGTGGGCAGAAGATGGTGGGGGAGAATGGCATTCTATGTCAAAGATACCATTACATGCTTTAGAATTATTGACAATTCAGAAGGGCAGGATCTGTTATATGTACAGATCAATGTGCTAACTGAAATCACAAGATGGGGAATTTGCCTGTACAAGTTGTGAATTCTGATCAAGGATATGAAGTGGTTCTTTTGAAAGGACTGTATTTTTGAATACCTCTAGGTGCATGTGGCTCCCATCCTTGCTGACGTGGGCTGTGTCACATCCTTCCCTGACCAGGTTCAAAAGGTGTTAGAAATTGCTAGCTACCTGTTCAGGTAGAAGTATCTTGAGACAATAGGTTAGTTCAAGCCTAGGAGAACCTGTCATATCCTATCTCTCTGAAGGGGGCTGGTGAAGGAGAGAGTAGAAAATTTCCAGAGAGGACAAAGCAAGAGATGGCAAACATTTTGAAAAGGTCGGGGGTGGGGGTGGTGGGGGAGAGAAGAGAGAGAGAGAGAAGAATTCTCAGAGTCACACAGGACCAAGGAGAAGAGATGGATGTGTTTTCTTAGTGCGGGTGTGGGGGCAATTTAGCTGTGGGACCAACCAAGATCAAAGCAAACTGGCCTGCAGAGTGAGCGAATGAGAGAGAGATGCACTAAGGTTCAGATAAGTCATGTCACTGCAGGGGAAGGGTCCTGGGTCTCCCAGAGGACCCTGGCACCAGCACAAAGAATGGTCCAGAGTGGTAAAGAAACTGAGTGAGTTGGAGGGGGAGGGGAGGGAAGCATATAGGGTTTATTTTTGTCTGGATCTGTAAATTTCGCATGTTAAGTAAGAGCAAATGTATTTTAGACTCCTGTGCAAAGTGTCTGTTGTGTAGACATCTCACATGCCCCTTGAAGACAAACTGTAAACCTAGCAGGTGTGTTTAAGCTATGGGGGAACCAGAGGTGTCACCACTGGTAACAAGGATTGGTCCAGAGGCTGCTCAAGACAATCTGCCTCCTCTAGGCAAAAGTTCAGTGTGCGACTCCCCTCCACCTCCTAGAAAAGGCGCATTGGACTTTTTTGGTGGGGAGTGTGGTGAGCCTTCCAGTGATTGTAGTAGAATTGGGGGAGCCAAGTGCCAGGTTGCAGTGCCATTCACTCAAGTTTAGCCTAGTGTCTCTCCATCATGATGTGGGGAGGGGCTGGCTGGGTAAAATTTGAGTGAGCAGCATTGTGACCTGGTGCATGGGGTTGCAGCATAGTTCAGGTTTGGCCTGGCTGCCATGATACCCTAGGCAGTTGCCTAGTTTGCTTGTAGCTAGAGCAGCCACTGGGCTAGGCAGTGGGACTGCAGGGTCTCAGTTCGCAGAAAGTTAAGTAAGGGATCCTTACTGAGTGTGAGCCTAGACACCTCGAGCTGGGGCAGTGCCTGGGCTCCATTCAGACTCTGGAGGGATTCAGCATTTGGATCCCCTCAGAGCAGTCTAGTGAGTGTCCAGGAGGGGGAGCTCATCTAGAGCTGTGACAGGGCTACTGGGTAAGGTTGCGTTACCACCAAACCACACAAACGCAGGATGAACAGCTCCTTAAACATCTTTTTATAAGGTGTAGAAAGAAAAATGTGAGAATTTATTTTAACACAAAGTATTGTAAGCAAGGTGGGGGTAATTCTATAGTAGACCTCATTCTGATAGATAAAGCTGAATTGGTCACTCCACTAAAAACTGATGGTTGCCTAGGTGCAGGTGATCATGACCAGCATATATTTCCTGATGCCCTAGCATAGCTACAGTGTCTGCCAGACCTAAAGGTCCACCTATTCCCCACCCTTCCTGCCCACCTGCACAAATGGGTAAAGTAGCAGCTCTATGGAGCCTGTTTCCCTTCCCATGCTGCTTCCAATGGCATGGGTAGCCAGAACAGGGGTATGGGGGGGTACCTTGATTTCCTGTACGCCCCTGTGCTGCCACATTAGCCAGGCTGCAAGTCAGCCATAAATGTTATGGTAAATTGAACAAATGTGGCTAGTGCCTTTTTGAGTATGGTAAGCTTCATTGACTTTTCCATTTGTTGTTTTTTTCTGGGGTGGCATTTAGTGGCTCTTCATTTTAAGGATTAGTTTTTAAAACAATATTATTCAATTCTATATTTTGAATAGATGACTGTATTGTGTATGTCTTCCCTCAGCATTTTTGCATGTATATAAATCAATCCGTTTTGCTGTTTCATGCCAACTCCATCATCAGATGAAAGCATTCAGAGTGCATTAATATAATTAAAAAAACCCAAACTTTCCATCACCTACTTGAAATCCAGAAGTTGCAATTCATGGTGTTGATCCCCCTGGACTGTCTTTAAATGAGAGCTTTGCTCAGAGTTGGAAGTCTCGATCTTGTCTAATAGCCGCATTACCTAATGAAAATTCAACAGGGAATGTTTTCATGAGCCAAACTATCAGCACTTACATTAACTACACATTATTGCTACAGGAGCTGGGAAATCAGCCTGAACTTAAGATGGGTGTGCAACTGAAAGTGCTTTTTCCAAAAGTAATTTCACGGCATGCTAAAGTCTAGCAGTCAAACTTCTGGCTGTATACTCTGTTCTCTTTGGACCAGATTCTGCAAGATGCGGACCACCATTTAACTCCTATTGAGGTCAGTGGGGACTGAGCCCTTTATAAAGGTAAAATTCGTATATACAGCTATCTATCGTGGCTCCCAACTCTATTTACAACGCATGATGATTCACTGGTAGCATTCTTTATAGCATTCCAAATACTTGATGCTAAATGATGGTTTTATGTAGAGAATCCAGGATGCAGGTCTACCTAAATTGGGAGACCAAATCTGAGAAAATTTGAAATATCATGAGTTTGATTATGTTCAGTACACTTGGCAGATGAATTTAATTAGGCCCTAATGTAAAGGCTTTTTTGAAGTTCATGCAAGACTTTAATCATGAGCTAAAAATCACCTACTGGGAAATTATAATTCAACTGTATATGGCAAATGTAATCCCAAACTAAACAGGGCCAATTCTGCCACCATTATATACTGTTAGTACCTTAATCCATAGGAGTAGGATCATTGATATCCACAGGACTACTTAAGGTGAGTCAAATAAGACCCACAGTGATTACATTGTTTTCTGAACATAACAGCCATACTGGGTCAGACCAATGGTCCATCTAGCCCAGTATCCAGTCTTCTGACAGTGGTCAATGCCAGAGGGAATGAACAGAACAGGTAGTCATCAAGTGACCCATACCTTGTCACCTATTCCCAGTAGGGTGACCAGGCAGCAAGTGTGGAAAAATCAGGACAGGGAGTGGGGGGGCTAATAGGAGCCTATATTAGAAAAAGACCCAAAAATCGGGACATCTGGTCACCCTAATTCCCAGCTTCTGGGGAACAAAGGCTTGGGAAACTTCAGAGCATGGTTTTGCATCCCTGCCCATCCTGGCTAATAGCCATTGATGGACCAATCCTTCATGAACTTATCTAGTTTTTTTGAACCCTGTTATACTCTTGGCCTTCACAACATCCTCTGGCAAGGGGTTCCACAGGTTGACTGTGCACTGTGTGAAAAAATACTTCCTTTTGTTGTTTTAAACCTGCTGGCTATTAATTTCATTTGGTGACCCCTAGTTCTTGTGTTATGAGGAGTAAACAACAACACTTCCTTATTTACTTTCTCCACACCAGTCATGATTTTATGGACCTCTATCATGTACCCCTTAGTTGTCTCTTTTCCATGCTGAAGAGTCCCAGTCTTATTAATCTCTCCTCATATGGAAGCTTTTCCATACCCCTAATAATTTTTGTTGCTCTTTTCTGAACCTTTTCCAGTATATCTTTGAGATGGGACAACCACATGTGCACACAGTATTCAAGATGTGTGCATACCATGGATTTATATAGAGGCAATATGCTGTTTTCTGTCTTCTTATCTGTCCCTTCCTCAGTGAGACCCAACATGGTTAGCTTTTTTGACTGCCACTGTACATTGAGTGGATGTTTTCAGAGAACTATCCAGATCATCATAAATATTTCTTTCTTGAGTGGCAACAGCTAAGACAGACCCCATCATTTTATGTGTCTGGAAAACATAATCCCAACTAGACATAAAATGATGGGGTCTGTCTTAGCTGTTGCCACTCAAGAAAGAAATATTTATGATGTTCTGGATAGTTCTCTGAAAACATCCACTCAATGTACAGTGGCAGTCAAAAAAGCTAACCATGTTGGGTCTCACTGAGGAAGGGACAGATAAGAAGACAGAAAACAGCATATTGCCTCTATATAAATCCATGGTATGCACACATCTTGAATACTGTGTGCACAGATTTCTTACCCTCTTCCCCCTTGGGTAGGGTTACCCTTGGTCCTTGATGCTGAGGCAGGGTCTCCCTTCCTTCAGTTCTCTGGTTTTCCAAGTCTCAGCAATGCACCTCCAAACTCCAGTCCTCTTTCCTTCCTCATACACCCTCACTGCCTGAAGCAGGTGATTTTATTAGGTTCCTGACAGGGCCTTACTTGACTACAGGTGCTCCAATTAACCTGTAGCAACTCTCCCTAGTCTACAGGAAACTACGCCTTAATTAGCCTAGGGTTTATACATCTCCCCTCTTCCACTGCTTCCTAGCCCTCCTGTATCAGGCTATGTTGAGTAGTTTTGTATCATCTGAAAATTTTGCCCCTCATGGTTTATGCCTTTTTCCAGATCATTTATGAATATGTTGAACAGTATTTTTTCCAGTACAGACTCCTGGGGGGAACACCATCATTTACTTCTCTCCATTCTGGATACTGACCATTTATTCCTACCTTTTGTTTCCCCATCTTTTAAATACTGATTCATGATAGGACCTTCCCTCTTATCCCTGACAGCTTACTTTGTCAAAAGCTAAGTACACTGTATCCACTGGTTCACCCCTGTTCACATGCTTGTTGACCCTCCTCCCCCCCAAAAAAAAATGCTAGTAAATTGGTGAGCATGATTTCCCTTTACAAAAACCAGGTTGACTCTTCCCCAAGAAATCATGTTAGTTTATGTTGTCCGATAATTCTGTTCTTTACTATAGTTTTCCAATATAGTTTTCTGATCAATAGGTTAACTTGCATTCAGATTCTGTTCTTCTGAATTCTATTTAGGGTCATTCTGTGACAAGATATGTTCTCTTCAGTGGACACTGTTGTTCCATTTTCTGCTTAATGTCTCTATATGAGGTGGCTGACTTGGTGTGGTTTTTTTTTTTTTTTAAACACACATTTGTATGCTGCTTCATGTGATTTTAGCATATACCTGTTCCGTTTTCCATTTAGTAGGGAGGCAGGATGTTTTTACATGTATTGAAAGAGACAGATTTCCAAACAGTATCTTATAACAGGTAAAATATCTTCATCTGAACTGCCATGGGTAGTTCTGCCTTGGAGCAGATGAAGCTGATATTTGCACTATATGAAATGACTGGAAGCTTGTTTTACATAGAAGCACATTCATGCAGAATGCAGTGAATTGACTATTTTAAATAAGGAAATTAAAGACTAAGGTATAGTAAATTTCATCTAAATAGAAACCTTTAATGAATATGGTGGGTACTCACTGGGGTGGAAGGAGGGACCGGCAGTTATTACTTGGTAAGAGGCAAATTACCCCTGTGTAAAGATATTATTTATGTACTCAATCCTGCAGGATGCGAATCAGCTTGTATTTGTATTGAAGGGAAAGGGAGCTGAGGGTGCTAATCTCTGACAGGAGAGGTCAAATGCTAGGAATACCATACAGCACTGTTGGTTGTGAAAATATCCATACATCCATGCTATATACACTGCAGAAGAAAATACTTTTTCTGCTAAAGTGACTGACAAAAGTGAAAGTTTTACCCTAAGAATGACAAGTTCAAGAGCACTTTGGAATGGTTCCAAAATTTGCATGGCTAATTAGTGATGATCTGTCCCAGCTACTTTCTGAAGCTGAAACTAAAGAATAAAATCCTGGTTTCCTGTGGTATTTTCCAACTTCAAAGTCCTTGGATCTGAAATTTCAAGATGCATTTTAAAACAAGAAAGGGCTCAAGGCTCTAAGGTTTGTGTAATGAAATATTATTAGCAAATTATAATGGGATTATTATTTTTTTTAGCATTTCATGATCCCCACATCCCAGGATTACATTGTTTAGTTTGCATTTCTCCTTAGTGTGTGTGTGTGTATACACACACTGCCATGATGCTATTGTATAATGTTATTGGAATGGAAAGGGGCTTGTCCAAACAAATCAATAAACCAATGTCAATATCACATCCTCCATTAACATTAGTCAGCAGTTGTGATGAGAAAGATACTTATATCCCATATCTTACAGCCAAAAGATATTTTCATTGTATTCATCTGCTCACCTTCATCTCTAAATTATTAGCATAACTTTCTGAGGTAGAGCGGATGCCACCAATCTCTTTCTCTAGCCTCTGGATCTCGTGCCTGATGATATTTATGTCTCCAGATAGCTTTGCAATGCTCGCATCACATCTAGAATAAAAAAAAAAAGAGGTTAACTACAAAACATGAAGAGTATCAATAATAGAATAATGATGTTATTTTTGCACTTGAAGACAATTGCTAGCCTCACCATGCCACCATTCAGTTGCCCCATGTCCCCTCGTAGCATCCGGACTGTGGCAGGATACCCTGAGCTAGACAAACATTGATACAATAATTCTGATACCAACCCTGCTTCCAGTTCTGGTTGGCTAGGGATATCATTTCTTTTCTGTAAGAATTGAAGTCAACAGGAGTTGAAGACAGTCAGCATTTGGCCCTTAATTTGCAACTGTGAAGCATAGGGCTGATATGCTGAACATCTCATTAACCGCAGAGTTCCCACTGATGCAATGGAAACAGACGAAGCTCGGCAACTTAGAGGACCCAGTTCTACAGGTTTTGTACAGTGAAATAATCCAACAATTAAAGAGTTAAATGAGTTCTAAAATGTATGCCCATGGGCTAAGTTGGGGTCCAGGTGCTGCTGTGTTTGCATTAGAAACAAATGCCTAGGAACAGAGATGATACATTGCTGCAACTGATGTTCTAGCTTGTGACTATAGCATACCTAGTTTGGAGGCAGATGCTAAGGAAGAGCAATTTTAGTGCTGTTACTGACAGAAGTATACTGCTTTATAAGCAGTTTGTCACCATCTATTTCAACTCTCTCAACTGCATTCACCAAAATCTGTGTGGCAATTCAAAATGGGAAAATTTGACAATGACAACATTTGTTGAACAATAGAATGACTGAATAATATTTAATCAACTTAACTTCTAAGGCACTTTAAAGTGCTGTTTTCCCTCTCTTGAATCTGTTGTATTTAAATACAAGTTAACAAAATGCCTAAGATGTTCAGGTGGAGTCACATCTACCACTTCTGTGCATGTCTTTCAATGTGGGAGGGGTGGCCAATGCACCTGTTACACAGCATGGAGGGGAAGCAGAAGGTACCTGCACCACATCTTCACAGTTGGTGCCCTCCCTTGTGCAGGATATTCATGCCGGTTTCTCTGCATTAGAGCACTCCCACAATCTCTCTGTAGGCTGCAGCAGCTGGCCCTATAGGAGGATTTTTCTATTCAAATGTTAAGAGTACTTATAAGATAGTTGAAATAGAACTTTAAGGACACTACACACTATGCAATGTTATAAAAGCTGAGTAAGGAAATCAACTACATTTTAAATATTTGAATGAACTATTTTCCTAAGGACTAGACAGAGGGAAACAGCAGAAGGAGAGTCAACATTGTTGCTAGATAAAAGTCTGGAGAGAGATTTTAAGTGTTTAAATAAAAGATGACAAAGCTACTCTGATGATTCTTGGATATTGTGATAGACCTCCAGAGCATTTAGATAAAATGGAAATGTCATTGTAGATAGAGACCTTGTAAGTAGGCCAGAACTTTGATCAAAAGGGATTATTGACTTGGAGAACAATTACATAACAACCAAGAAGGTGAACATACGTTTAGAGAGACAGCAGGGTTGCTTTCTTACAGTTTGTTGAATTGTTTACTTGGTCAGCAGCTTTTTTGGCCCAAACCCTGGAAACGAAGCCAAGAATAATATGAAGTACAAAGGTTTCAGAGTAGCAGCCGTGTTAGTCTAAGGTGCCACAAGTACAAAGCATCTACAATCTAAAGATTATGGAATTATTTGTTGTAAGTTTCTTGTGAGAGCAAGAACTAATGGGAAAAAACCTCTAGGCAGGGTGAATCAAGTTTATATCTGGTGTAAGCGGGTACAACTCTGTGGAAGTTGAGAGAGCTGTTCCTGCTTAAAGATTGGTCCTATAACTTTTAAAATGTTGATTTTGCTGGCATGTGGAAAGCCAAGTCAGTTTTAATTCTGTTCTATAATGTGCAGGACAGAGTTCTAAAAGAGTCAGACCATCAGGGAGAGAACATCTATATGCAACTGAAATTAAACCTGGCAAAAGATAACATGCAGCCTGGGATTTGCATAACTATTAATACTATAAGAGAGCCTGTGAAAATTAGGCACCCGGCTCCCATTTAGCTGTTAACTCCCTTAGACTCCTTTTCAAAATCCCAACTCTAAGCAATAAGTAGAAGAGTTTTGAAAAACCGTAAAGATGAGAAATTTGAGAATGCTTAATGCAAGATGTGAAGAGTACAGTCCTAGCAGATGAAGGTTCTGATTTTCATCATTGGGTAAAGATAACTGTGTTTGCATAACTGGTGGCTAGAGTTCTGGACTGGGATCCATGAGATGTGTGTTCTATTACTGGCTCTTCCAGTGGGTTACTGGGTGGCCTTGGGCAAGTCACTGCACCTCTCGAGCCCTTAGTTTTCCCATCTATAAAAAGGGGATACGGAGTCCTCCTTTCTAAAGCACTTTGAAATTGACAGAGGAAAAGTTCTCTCTAGATAGCATTATTAGCAAGATTATGTATGCAAATAACCAAATAGATGTCTAGGGTGTTTATGGATGCAGTTATTCTGGCTGCACACACAATTGCATAATAATTGTATGTGGAAAATGTGTGCACATTTTTGCATACATATACAAAGATTCAGGCCTGAAGGTATACTGTAGAAAGGAAAATTGGATCACTAAAAAGCTTGTATGCTATTGGAGCAAGAAGATAAGGAAACAGGAAACTGTTTAACATGTTGATCTAATTAATTGTTTATAAAAGAGGAAGACAAGAGTTGCCTAAGGGGAGGTTCCTGTTTCTTGGTCAGACAGACAGGGAGGGGCTAGACAGAGTGCCGACTGCAATGAAAGAGACTATCAAAAGACCAAGACACTATAATTCCATGAGATTTAAATTATTTGCATATGAATAAGTAAACCTCAAATGATAAATTTATGCATTTTGTTATTGACATAAATATAGCCCCAAAGTTTCCTACTGTATCCTGAAGGACCTCAATTTTACAATTATAGGGAGTACAATGAAAGGAACAGTTTCTGTTATACCATTGTATCTAGCAGAGGATTAAAAAATTCTGAAGCACGTAGTAACTGTTTCTCATTCTGTAAACTTCATTCATGGCTTGTAATAATCTGATAAAGTTCTGGACTTTTCTGATTTCCATTGCTTTGTTATACAGAGAAGTATGCAAGAAAAAAAACAGGCAGAATTTAACCTTCAGAAGGAAGTGCAGAGTCCATCTCCTTGTTCAGTGTTTTGCTGGTGGGTTGAGGAGAGTACTTTTATGTTTATGGGGAGGGTCTCTTGTTTACATTTGTCAGCTTGTTTTGTATTTTTGCGCATATGGACGTATGTCACAATGACAATTGTGCTTGGGCTCATTTTAAAAATCAGGAAATTAGTATATAATTGAGAGCAAACAAAATGGGAACACAACAATTAATGGAGTATCAAGTGCAGTGCCCCAAGGGTTGGTTTTGTTCAATAACTTCATTAATGATCTGGAGGATGGTGTGGATTGCACCCTCAGCAAGTTTGCAGATGACACTAAACTGGGAGGAGTGGTAGATACACTGGAGGGTAGGGATAGGATACAGAGGGACCTAGACAAATTGGAGGATTGGGCCAAAAGAAATCTGATGAGGTTCAACAAGGACAAGTGCAGAGTCCTGCACTTAGGACGGAAGAATCCTGCTACACTGCTACAGACTAGGGACCAAATGGTTAGGCAGCAGTTCTGCAGAAAAGGACCTAGGGGTTAAGTGGATGATAAGCTGGATATGAGTCAGTGTGCCCTTGTTGCCAAGGAGGCCAATGGCATTTTGGGCTGTATAAGTAGGTGCATTGCCAGCAGATCGAGGGACATGATCATTCCTCTCTATTCGAGGTTGATGAGGCCTCATCTGGAGTACTGTGTCCAGTTTTGAGCCCCACACTACAAGAAGGATGTGGAAAAATTGGAAAACGTCCAGTGGAGGGCAACAAAAATGATTAAGAGGCTGAGGGAACTGGGATTGTTTAGTCTGCAGAAGAGAAGAATGAGGGGGGATTTGATAGCCGCTTTCAACTACCTGAAAGGGGGTTCCAAAGAGGATTATCTAGACTGTTCTCAGTGGTAGCAGATGACAGAACAAGGAGTAATGGTCTCAAATTGCAGTGGGGGAGGTTTAGGTTGGATGTTAGGAAAAACTTTCACTAGGAGGGTGGTGAAGCACTGGAATGCGTTACCTAGGGAGGTGGTGGAATCTCCTTCCTTAGAGGTTTTTAAGGTCAGGCTTGACAAAGCCCTGGCTGGGATGATTTAGTTGGGGATTGGTCCTGCTTTGAGCAGGGGGTTGGACTCTATGACCTCCTGAGGTCCCTTCCAACCCTGCTAGTCTAGGATTCTGCGCTGGGGGTGGGCTTTCCCGGTTGTTCAGAAATGCCTATAGAACTTTCAAGAATTATTTGATGATGCATTTGCTAGTAGTGAAACTTATACACCATACTGAGGGAGAAAATTCAGATCTTGTATCTGATCTTTCTGGATTAGACAAAAGGTATTATGGAGGTAATCATTTGGGGGAAGAGGTGGAGTGAAGAGAAAGTAAACAGTAAATTAGTCACTTAACTATGCAAATTTGCCTCCACCCACTTTGAACGCCGCTTCTTCTTCCTCATATGTCTGATGTAAATGTTGACCAACAACTATATTTCATTAAGATGGTTAAGGCAGATATTTGCATCTGGAGTAGCAGAGCATTGCTGTGATGCATCCTTCATATTTGTGAATGGGGCATTGAGGAGTTATATGTTCCATGGTCTGTTCTGGGTGACCATGGTCGCACACGGCAGAGTCTTTAATTTTCCATTTGAGCTAGTGTCAGAATCTTCTTGTTGTGACATCACAGAAATTGCCATGGGAGTAACTATTGCAGCCTTGCAGAATAGGTTAGGACATCAATGCATGGATAAGGCAGGAGGAGGAAGATGGGGCTGACTGAAAGAAAACACATATTTACATACAAATATCCTAGGGGGTGGTGTTGAATTGTACTATCCCACATGTAAAGCTTTGCAAGGGTAGGATTTAGCTTAACATCAAAGCTCAGAGTTTAAGGCATCATTCCATCCAGAGGACAGGATTACAGTGCTTGCCATGAGAGCTCTGGGAGCGATCAAACACCATTGTGGGCAGAGGAGTGTGGAACACTAAGGGATCCCAAAGATCCTACTGGGAGAGCAAACCCATGAGTCTGTGGAGGAAGAGAGATGAAGTTGAGAACCTGCAGCAGGCTTGACAGTGAAGCTATTCTGCTGGCCCATCCTGTGCAGAAAAACCTCAAGCAAGTTGTCCAACATTCAGCAGTAGTCTAAAGGTAGCAGCCCTTATACTGGTCAAGGTGCATAAGGGAAAGTATGCACTGGGAAGTCACAGGACAAGGTGTGATTAGACACTAATGAAAAACCTCAGCAGTTACTAGGTGAGCATGCTCACAAATGATTTTTCAATTGCTTAAAACTATATTAGAGAATGTGAGTGAGGTAATCACTTTTATTGGACCAGTTTCTGTTAGTGAAAGAGAGAAGCTTTGGAGCTACTCAGAGCTGTTCTTCAGGTCTGGGAAAGGTACTCAGATCTAAATTTAAGGGGGAACAGATTGGTCAGAATAGGAGTTACCCACATTCTGAGAGACCATTCAAGGTGAAGTGGCCTGTTAGTACCTCTCCAGTCATAGTACAAAAAAGGGGGTTGGTGGGTTACAGATTGTTGTAATAAGCCATAAATCCATTGCCTGTATTAAGACCATGATTTTTAGTGTCTAGCAAGCTAGGACTTTAAGCTCCCAGACTTCACTTTTGAAGGTTTTGTGCAGGTTTCCTTTGAGAGCAAGGTGTGAACTGCAGTGACAAGCTAAATTGCAAGTGTGGCTGTATACCTCAGTGGGCACTATTCACACACCAAGTCTCAACTTCAGCTGTTGAGTTATTTGTGTGAAAAAAGTGTGCCAATAATTTTTTACAATGGTAAAAGTATTCTTTTCTTAGCCTTGATTAACACATATGGCTGAATGGATTTTCCCCTAAGTTAAAAAAAACAAAAACAAATAAAATTCACCTTTAGGTGGAGTACAACCATAGAAAATTTCACCCCAAAGTGAAATTTTAGGACAGTTCTGAGCAATTGAAAAATGGAGTTTTGCAACCTTCTGCTTATCAAATAAATATAATGGGCCAGAATCTCAGCTGGTGTAAATTGGCATAACTCCATGGACTATAAGAGAAATGTGTTGATTTGCACTAGTAGAGAATCTGGCCCAATATGTACAATTTTGAAAATAGGTTTCCAGCACTGCCAAGCTGAAAATTTGGCTTCCTCAGAGGCAAATACTTCATTCCAAAGGCTGGGAGCCCCAAATGCTGGCAAACTACTGTAGTTCTATCCCTGGTGAGGGAGTGAGGAAAGAGTGGTGGAGAAGAGGGAGGATTGCAGATGCATGGAATACAGAGCTCCTTGGAGCTAATTGGGACACATTTGCTGTCAGGCCTGGTGGATGACTAGTGGATCCATCCCTATACAATTAATCTTGTGACCATTCCCCTTCTGGAAGGGGTACGATTCTTCTCTGGGAGAAGCCACAGGGCTAGAAGTACAATAGATTATTAGAGTTTAAAACTAGAAGGGGGCATTAGGTCACCTAGTCTCAACGCCTGAGTATCACAGGGGCTATCCCCAATTTATGGGGCTCATTTTTAATGTTTTTTTCCAAGACTGCACCCTTGTAACACTGAAAACAAAAACTCCACAAAATTAAGGACCCACCCTGTAATATGTCACATAAAAGTCATGGACAACCCCATAGGCCATTAAATTTCACCTAGTTGTCCCTGTATTGAGCCCAGTAATTTGGGTTTGATTAATGCACGACTTCCAGAAAAGCAGCCAGTCTTGATATGAAGACATCAAGAGCTGGAGGCTCCATCACTTCTTTGGTAGTTTGTTCCAGTAGTTAATCACCTTCATTGTTAAAATTTTGTACTTACCTTACATTTGTCTAGCTTCAGCTTCCAGGGATTGGATCTTGTTAGGCCTTTCTCCACTAGAGTAAAGATCCCTTTAGGACCAGTATGTTCTCCTTGTGAAGGTATTTACACACTGATCAAGTCACCTCTCAAACTTTGATAAGCTAAGCAGACTGAGATCTTTAAGTCTCACTGTAAGAGATTTTCTGCAGACCTTGAATCATTTTTTGTGGCTCTTTTCTGGGCCCTCTCCAATTTTTCAATAGGTCTTTTTAAAGTGTTGACACCAGTATTCCTGGTCTCACCAATGCCAAATACACAGGTAAAATTACTTCCTTACTTGTACTCACTACTTCCCTGTCTAAATAGCCAAGAATCACATTAGTTCTTCTTGCCACAGCATTGCTCTAGGAACACATGTTTAATTGCCTGTCCACTGTGACCCTTAAATCCTTTTCACAGTCACTGCTTTCCACAATACAGCTCGCTCATCCTGTAGGCATGGCCTGCATTCATTGTTCGAGATGAAAATGTGCAGTCTAATGCAGTTTAGATTTTGTTTGCATAAGTCTACATTACCAAGCAATCCAGACCACACTGTCATGGTTATTTATCAACCTGCCAATTTGTGTGCCATCTGCAAGTTTTATTAGCAGTGATTTTATGTTTACTTCCAGATCATTGATAAAAATGTGGAACAGAGTCAGGACTAGTACCAATTTCTGCAGAACCACACTAGAGACACCCCATTCAATGATTATTCCCTTACTTTGAGATCTGTGCACTAGCCAGTTCTCAATGCATTCATCATGTGCTCTATAGCTATTGGATAGTGTATTGTATTTTTTAAATCAGAATGTTGTGCAGTACTAAGCCAAACACCTTACAAAAGTCTATTACATCTACAGGGTTGCCTTCATCAACCAAACCTATAATCTCATAGAAGAGATTAATCAGGTTTGACAAGACCTGTTTACCATAAAACTATATTGACTAACATTAATTATATTCCTACTATTTTTTAATCCTTTATCAGTTGACTACCATATCTGCTTTTCCTTTCTTTTGACCACCACTGATATCAGACTAACCAGATGGACATTCTGCTTACCCTTTTTAATATTGATAAAATACTGGCACCCTTCTGTCTTCTGGAATTCCCCCACTATTCCAGTGTTAGTAAAAATGAAGATCAGTGGACCAGAGAGCTCCTCAGCCAACTCTTTATTAGGTGCAAGTTATCTGGGCAATATTTGCTACAGCCTAGCCTGAGGTGAAGAAGTCTATCTTTCCCTAGCACCCTGAAAATTTCCCCAGCACACTCATCTACATATTCCAAAATATTGAATTCACTTTACAGACTACAGCTATCCCTGCAGCCACAACTAAAATGCATCCATCTCTGGGGTGGAACACAGTGGTACTTAGCTGTCATACAGTAGTGTTGCTGTTCTCAGTTTTAGGAGAGGAAATGAAGAATTCTATGCCATATATAATTGAAACTATAGGGGAATTTACATGGGGGAAAATTTAATTATTCAAGCTGAAATCTAGCCAGCACATCAAGGATAATATCTCTGAAATGTTATGTTTTTGAGAAGATTTAATTATTCATTAGCATTATATATTTTACCAGGGCTGGATTAATCTTTTTGGCCCTAGTACTGGACCGTGACCCCACCTCCTGCTCCACCCAAGCTCTGCCCCAAGGCCACACCTCCGCTCAGCCTCTTCTCCCTGAGGCCCTGCCTGTGGTCCGCCCCAAGGCCCCCACTCCCATTGGCCTCATCCCGAGGCCCTGCCCATTGCTCACATGGTGGGGAAGGGACAGAGAGGAGTGAGCAGGGGGGCTGGGATCAGAGAGGAGTGAGCTGTGGGTGGAGCCTGGGGCGGGGTGGGGGGGGAGAAGAGGCAGAGTGAGGGCAGACCCTCTGGACAGAGCATGGGCAGGTCCACAGTCTGGGTGCTTTCCGAGTGTGGGCCTGGCACCATAGTAAAATACAGTACCAGGTTTACAAACACATTGAACTCAATTCTCATGTACACTAAAAACACTTCACACTGCTCTGGCAGTGTAAAAGGAAGTAAAGTATATTGTCATGGGGGTAAGAGGGAAGGTCCTTTCATGGATTGGTAACTGGTTAAAAGACAGAAAACAAAAAGGTAGGAATAAATGGTCAGTTTTCACAATGGAGAGAGGTAAATAGTGATGCCCCCCACAGGTCTGTACTGGACTAGTCCTATTCAAGATATTCATAAGTGATCTGGAAAAAGAGGTAAACAATGAGGTGGCAAAATTTGCAGATGATACAAAACTACTCAAGATAGTCAAGTCCAAAGCAGACTGAAGAGCTGCAAAAGGATCTCACAAAACTAGGTGATTTAATTTGCCATTTTGTTGCCCAATGTTGATAAATACAAAGTAGTGCACATTGGAAAACATAATTTAGACAACTAGACATAAAATGATGGGGTCTAAATTAGCTGTTATCACTCAAGAAAGATCTGAGTCATTGTGGATAGTCTGAAAACAGCCACTCTGTACAGCAGCAGTCAAAAAAGCTAACAATGTTGGGAATCACTAAGAAATGGATATTTAATAAGACAGAAAATATCATATTGCCTCTACATAAATCCATAGTACACCCACATCTTGAATACTGCATTCAGATGTGGTCGCCCCATCTCAAGAAAGATATGCTTGAATTGGAAAAGATTTAGAAAAGGGCAACAAAAATTAGGGGTATGGAAAGGCTGCCATATGAGGAGCAATTAATAAGAATGGGATTTTTCAGCATGGAAAAGAGATGACTAAGGGGGGATATGATAGAGGTCTATAAAATCATGACTGGTGTGGAGAAAGTAAACAAGGAAGTGTTATTTACTCCTTCTCATAACATAGAAACTAGAGGTCACCAAATAAAATTAATAGGCAGCAGGTTTAAAAAAAACAAAAGGAAATATTTCTTCACACAATGCACAGTTGGCCTTCACAACATCCTCTGGCAAGGAGTTCCATAGGTTAAGACTATAACAGGGCTCAAAAAAGAACTGGATAAGTTCATAGAGGATAGGACCATCAATGGCTATTAGCCAGGATGGGCAGAGATGGTGTCCCTAGCCTCTGTTTGCCAGAAGCTGGGAATGGGTGATGGATCACTTGAGGATTACCTGTTCTGTTCATTTCCTCTGGGGCACCTGGCATTGGCCACTGTCGGAAGACAGGCTACTGGGCTAGATGGACCTTTGGTCTGAACCAGTATGGCTGTCCCTATACCCACATTAAGGCCCCTTTACCCACCTAGAGCAGTATAAATGAGAATCAGGCCCACTATGTTTTACTTACCTGGCCACCCTTCCACGCAGGTCTCCAAATCCATGTAGGTATTTATGGTCCAAACTTTGAACAGCAAAAGTAGTTCCTGTTGCAACATTATCTCTTGTTCTTATTTGTTTCTCCAAAACCTATAAATTCATAGGTCACATCCTATGAGCTTGTTTAGTTTAACTACTTCATTTATTAATATTTCAAAGCTTAGCCAAAAGATCCTTTAAAGAAGGAGTTCTGAAAGTTCTCATTTCAATTTCTACAGCACAGCTGTACTCCTTTATAGTGTCTATCTAAATTAGACAAATAAAAACTACATTGCAAGAACATTAAGGTTGCAAAGTCAAGCAATCAAAAGTCAGGAAATCCCCAGTGAAGGTTGCCCATTAAAACTTAATTTGCCCCCTTTGTGCATATGCATTATGATTCAGTCTTTAATTATACAATCACATGCTATTTTTTCCATAGGACCCAGGGTGCATTCAAGCATACAGCATGAACTGTTTTATCCTCATTGTTCAATCTATGGGTATAACAAGGCAAGGACTCACCAGTGCAGCACCTCCTGCTGGTCATCTGGAATTAGCTCTCCAGCATATAGAGCACTCTCTGCAGGCCAGTGTCTCACCTGCCCCTAGCCCCATGTCTCTTCCAGACCCTAGTGCCCCTTTTCCTCAGGGTTCTGCCCTTAGCAGTAACCCACAATCTGGGTCTCCCCTCTAAGGGGAACCTCCAGCCCTCCAAACCCACCTTGACTCAGTGGCTACTGCCAGTCATCATCATCTAGCCCCCTTTCACTGGGGCAGACTGCAGTCTGTAATGGCCACTCATCATTGACAAGGGGATAGGACCGGCTGCCTTTGCCTATCCCCAAGCTGCACCTCTGCAGCCCCAGTACCTGCTGTAAGCCTTTAACAAGGCCTCCAGCCTGGGGGTTTTCTAGGCTAGGAGCTCCCCTTACCCAGCCCTGCTCTGCCTCAGGTACCTTACTCCCAAGCAGCTAGCCCTTCCTACTCCAGGGATAGAGTGAGACTCCTCTGCTTCTGGCCCACAGCCCTCTTATAAGGGTCAGCTGCCCCCCTGATTGAGCTGGCCACAGCTGTGGTCATCTACTCACTCAGCTTCTCCCAGCTGTTCTGAACTCCTCTTCCCCCAGCTGCAGCCATCTCCAGGGCTGCTTTTACTATTGGCTCCCCAGGGCAGCCCTCTCTCAGGGCTGTTTTAACCCCTTCAGGGCTGGAGCAGGGTGACTACCCCGCTACAGTGGGCACATACCTTAATTACTATATTCTATTCAAACCCTACTCTGAAGACAGAGTTATTAATTGTCTCATGTGCTTTTCAAAGGCGCTCATCATTATAACGTCTTGAGTGCTTCTCAAACATTAATTTATTTTAGAAACCATTCTGTGAGGTAAGGGTGTGGTATTACTCCCATTTTACAGATGGATGACTAAGGCACAGAAAGATTAAGGTAAAAAAATCTACTTATTTTGGGTGCTCAACATTTTGGAATCTAAGAGATGGGATATGGACCTGAGGCTGAAGAGAATCCTAATGGGAGAAGGAAGGAATCCACTGATTGTCCTTCACGTGGAAACAAATGATACTGCTCGATTTTTGCTGGGGCGCATTAAGGAAGACTACACCAGGCCAAGAAAGACACTTAAAAGAAATGGGAGCTCAGGTGATCTTCAGTGGAATTCTACCTGTCCCTAGAACAGGACAATGAAGATGAGACAAGATTACAATGGCTTAGGCAGTGGTGCTGTAAGGAGGGTTTGGGGATGTTCGACCACTGGGACGCATTAACGGACAGAGGACTGTTCTCATGGGATAGACTCCACCTGAGCAGGGAGGGAAATAGACTTCTGGGAAGGAGGTTGGCACTACTGATTGAAAGAGCTTTAAACTAGGAATCTGGGAGATGCTTATGCAATCTCCATGCCTGATTCCAATACTCACTTTTATAGTCCAGTCACCCTTTTAAGTGGACTCTTCTGAGGATTACCCCTCAAAGCAAAGTTTATTCAAACCATAAAGAAGGTGATGTGGAGTCTGGTGGTGAAGTTGGCTCCATGCTCTTTCTTCTACCTGTGTATGCTGAAATACAGATTTGCCTTGTTTCCTGTAATTTCCCCTCCTGCTGCCTCAAGGACCCTGTATACTGCTTATAGGTAAACCGAAGTAAACACACATTCCTTTGTTTAGGATAGAACTGTTTAACAACTTTTGGCTAGTCAAGACTGTGTGGGTCTGAACATGTGCCAGCAACATTATATGGGGGAATTAATAACTTCACATATAATTTTGCTACACATATTTTACCACAATATTATTGACCAGCAAGTTATCAGTTTTCAAATGATACCTCCCAAAGCATATTTAGTGCTAAGACTATTACAATGGTGTGTGCAGTGTGAATACAGGGATGCTTTTGGTTACAGAGGTTACCAATGGAGTTCCTCAGGGACTGGTGCTGGGACCAATCTTACTTAGCATTTTCACTAATGACCTAGGCACAAAAAGTGAGAGTGCGCTAATAAAATTTGTGGGTGACACAAAGTTGGGATGTATCATACAAGAAGATCTGAACAACCTTGAAAACTGGAGTAATAGAAATGGGGTGAAATTTAACAATGCAAAGTGAAAGATCATGCACTTAGGGACTAACAAGAATTTTTCCTATAAAATGGAGATGTATCAGTTGGAAGCTACAAAAGGAGGAGAAAGACCTGGGTGTTTTGGTCGATCACAGGATGATCAAGAGCAGCCAATATAATGCAGCCATGAAAAAGACCAATGCAATACTTGGATGTGTCAGATGAGGTATTTCCAGTAGAGACAGGGAAGTGTTGTTATCATTATACAAGGCATTGGTGAGACTTCATTTGGAATATTGTGTGCAATTCTGGTCTCCCTTGTTACAGAAAGATTAATTCAAACTGGAACAGGTGCAGAGAAACTTGGCTGATCAGAGGAATGGGGAACCTACCTTATGAGAGGAGACTTAAGGAGCTTGGCTTGTTAAGCCTAACAAAATGAAGGCTGAGAGGAGTTATGATTACTCTCTATAAATACATGAGAGGATAAACACCAGGGGAGGGAGAGGAATTATTTAAGTTAAGGCCAAATATTGGCACAAGAGCAAACGTATATAAAATGGCCATCAAGAAGTTTAGGCATGAAATTAGACAAAGGTTTCTAACCATCAGAAACGTGAAGTTCCAAGGGAAGTAGTGGGGGCAAAAAACAAATCCTAATTTGTTTCAGTACTGAGCTTGATACGTTTTTGGAGGGGATGGTATGAAGAGAGAGCTGACAATGACATATAGCCCATATGCAATTGCTATTAGCAAGTATCTCCAATTACTACAAGATGGGACACTAGATGGGGAGGGCTCTGAGTTACTACCAAGAATTCTTTCCCAGGTGTTGGGCTGGTGGATCTCGCCCACATGCTCATGGTCTAATTGATTGCTATATCTGAGGTTGAAAAGGAATTTTCCCCAGGTCAGATTGGCAGAGACCCTGAGTTTTTTTAGCCTTCCTCTGAAGGATAGGACAAGGGTCTCTTGCTGGTTTGACCTAGAATAAATGGTGGATGGTCTGTAACTTTAAGTCTTTAAATGAAGATTTGAGGACTTCAGTAACTTGGCCAGAAGTTATCGGCCTATTACAGGAATGGGTGGGTTAAGTTCTGTGGCCTACGATATGCAGGAGGACAGACTAAATGATCATGATGGTCTCTTTGTGCCTTACAATCTATGAGTCAATGAGATGTCTAGGACCTGACTTTTTTTCCCAGAGACTTAGCATTATATAGCAGTTAATACATCCAAAGCACAGCTCTGTAATTTTAACATGGGAAAAACAACATATTTTTCATTAGCATTGTTCTCAGAAGTGGCTATTCCATTTTGGCTGAAGTTGTGTGTGTGTGTGTGTGTGTATATATATGTATATGAAGCTGAGGCACAGACCCAGCATGGGAAATTTGAGCTTGAACAGATAAGGTTTGGCAAAGTTATAAGTAACTGAAAACAGGGTCATCTAATGGGAACTGGCAGACAACCTTAACATGAAACTGTGCTACCAGCCCCACCTCTGATGCTGTCTGATATAACTAACAGAGTTGAGTAAACATTTTAGGATGAGTTCCAATTTAAGCAGGAGAGAGGACACATACATTGAAAACTCCCATACTGTGCAAACACTGTAGCAGACTTTTCAAGCTATCCATTGATTAGAGCTGAGTAAAGCATTCTATGTAAAATCAGAGTAATTTGAGATTTGCCTGTTGTCAAGTTCCTGGAGCTTCTTCAAACACGCAGTGCTTAATGCAACATTTTTGAATCAGTAAAATTATTATTGAAGCTGGGTACAGTTTTATCTTTGTTACACAGAACTTAGCAAAAGTTTTGAAGGCAGCTTTTGTGATGCATTGCAGATATTGAGCTGACTTTGGTTGCATTGTTGAAGTGATATAGATGAAAGACACATGGCCCTTGTTCTGAATCCCTGACTGTCTGAGCTCATCCCATGTATTTCTGAGAGTTAACAGAAATTTTTTTGACTTGTTTTAATGCACTGTCAAACAGTCAGAAAAAATTATAGGCCTGATTTATCGTTGCCCTGTGGCTCTTTTTATACCACTTAGATTGGTGCAAAGCGGTCATAGGGCAGGCATCAGGGCCCTACTTCCACCAGAAGATACCCCTAACGTAAGTGGCCGCTACATCAGCTCTTTACCATCTCTGCAGCAGAAGGAGGCATTCTAGCATTGGCCCGAGAGAGATGGCGCATGGGAGAACTGAGGGGGCTGAGAAATTTGGAGAGCAAAATGTAATGACAATCTTTTCATTCTGTCTTCACAGCTCTAGTGACAATGCACGTGGCATGCATCCGAAATAGTGAGCCCTGACTATACATTTATTTTTGTTCTTTGGTAGAAAAATGTTATTCTCAAAAGTTCAAGTGCATTAGCACTGCTCAAATGATTCATTTGTAGTATGCCTAACAAGGCAAATGTGGTGTGATAAACTCACAAAGATGAAATGTTGGATGAAAGACACCTGCTCTTTGGTTGACAAAAGCAGTATCTCTCTTTCGTTTATTAAGATGGAAAGCACCAATATCCTATTTATTGAGAGAAATCACTACTCCAGTTCTTCATCTAATTCCCTGGACTCCAAACAGTATTAAATTCCCACAACTTGCCAACCTTGGGGAAGTGAAATATATTCAAATAACTGCACCTGTGAAAGCTCTTCAATGCTTGTCAAAGTCAGTGTTCAATCATTTTTAAGCGTTTCTTTCACTAATGGTTTTGTTGTTTTCCATATGACACTGATTGCGTTTGTCCTGCTGTTTCTTATGCAACACCAGCCAGAACTGTTTGATGACTGTATTGTGGTTACTTCTTTTGCTGAGCATCGTTAATGATGTCATCAAAATGTCAGGATGGTTCTGGGAACAGTTTGTTAACTTAAATTCTTCCTATCAGTTGCCTTTGCCAAGATCTGAATTAATAGTAACTATTACATTTTGTGGTGGAGTTAAAAAAATGAATTCCAGAATACCCCAAGATTTTAACAATTTTAAAGTACTCAGATTTTGGGGGTGGAGGGTAAATTACTTGATTTGTATACCTTTTTTTTAAGGCTATAATTTATGAAGATTTTAAGCATATGTATGCTCACCCCAGCTCCTTATAATAATTAATAATGTTTGTATTGTGGGAGCACCTACCAGCCCCCATTATGGACCAGGTCCCCCCTTTTGCTAGGCACTTTATAAACAGAACAAATGAAGTGTAAGCTCTTTGGGGAAGGGATTGTCTCAGTACAATTTTGATGGTGCACCAGGGGAAATGAAGGTGGGTCAGTGAGCATACGGGATGGAAGATGAGTGGTTTGTTTGTCGATGCCTGGATGGAGGGATGGGTGCTATCCAGGTGGCCTGGGTTGTGAGGGAGCTCTGCACCAAGGCTTGAAGTGCCCTATCAAAGGCCTCTGTTGCTTTATTGCTCCACGGAGCTGAGGTAGCAATGCCAGGGAAACCTTCAAATTCTAGTGCCCTGGTGCAGAGACACTGGCTTCCTCCAGCACAGCTGCCTGGGGTGCAGGACTGCTGAGGCAGTGGCACTGAAGGAACCAAGTGCCCTTGAGTTAAGGCACCAGTACTTCAAGGTCTCCCCATGGCACTGTTGTCTTGGTGTGCTGGGAAGCTAGGCTGCAGCAAATCTGGAGACCAAATTCAAGTGCTGAAGTGTGGAACAGAGGAATTTTAAGTGAAAATTTCAGTACAATTAATCTTGGAGTTGCTATCAATCCTCCGTATGTCTGGTGAGTGCCACTGAGAACTTTATTGTTAGCTTTTCTTAAGGGTTCAATAGTTTAAAATTCTCAGTCTTCTCATTTAACTACCACAGGCTTAAGCTCTATTAACTGTTTTATTTTTACTTTCACAAGCCTCTGCATTTCCTGGTTTCACATGGAACTGCAAGCACTCCTAGAGGGCGAGAGAGGGTGTTCCCTGGTCCAGCTGAAATAATGACAGATTAGAAATCTGATGAAAAACTTGATCCTGAAAGATATCCATCCCTAAAGGGTTTGGATACAAATCTTTAGAAATTCACCCCATCACAAAGCCCTAAACAACTATGGGTGTGTTTGTTCATCAGGCCAACCTGTATGCTATGTCTCCATGTGTTTTTTAACAAGTCCAAGCATGTTCCAACTTCTCATGAGCAGAGTCTTTGGGCCAAATTATTTCCCTTTTCCAGGCCATTTGTGCCACTCTGGAAACAAAATGGGGCCTGAATCTGTCCATATCTGGCCAGTTGTAAATGCTCCTTGCATACGGGAATCAGGGAACTGTAATTAGCTCCCTGATGTCCCTGCTGAGGCAGATCTTAGCCACAGGAGAAAATCTAACCTTTTAAGAAGGCCAAAAATCCTCTGAGAACTGTACCATGCTCAGTAACTGGGGCAGAAGTGGGTAGCTGGCCTCCCAGGGAGAGCAAAGATATATTAATATTAGCTGCTTATACAATATTAAGTATCTTTCTATAGTTGAAAAATATATTGGTCCTGACTGAATCATAGGAAACTAGAGATGCAACAAATCCCACCAGCTCCAAAAACAAATGCAGACCTACCTCTATATCATGGCTGAGCTTCTTAACTATGCTTGTAATAGTTTGTATGTGGTTTTCCAGCAGTTGTCGTGCTGTTGCCTCCCCCTGTTGATGGCCCTTACTTCCTTGAAGATAAGAAACAATGTCATCTTTGATTCGAAAGGCCTGATCTAAGAGAACAGCTGTGGTCCTCTCCTGACTGGACACCCGGTTTTCTAGAAGATTCACTCTGTTTCCAGGAATCATGGGAATTGCAGGAAGGAAAGCTTGGCTCCTGTCCAGAAAAACACAATACAGGGTAATGTCTGAATGAGGCTGAAGACTGGCCAGTGTACATTAGGTTTGAAATATGCTGCATGTTACACTTTCATCTTACAATAGTTACAGTAAGATCAAAATTTGACATCAAGAGTACTGGAATAATAACAGTTTCCCTTTTTCTTGCCCTGGTTCTGTAGTATACAAGCTCCATGATAATAATCATTCATGTAAATCCGTCCTAGATGATGGAGTAATGTGACTAGCTGATAAACCTTTTAAAGAAGCAGATTAATCTATTAGTAGGGCCCTACCAAATTCACGGCCATGAAAAACATGTCACGGACTGTGAAATCTGGTCTCCCCCGTGAAATCTAGTCTTTTGTATGCTTTTACCCTATACTATACAGCTTTCACAGGGGAGACCAGTGTTTCTCAAATTGGGGTCCTGACCCAAAAAGGAGTTGCAGGGAGGTCACAAGGTTATTTTAAGGGAGTCACAGTATTGCCACCCTTACTTCTGCGCTGCCTTCAGAGCTGGGCAGCCGGAGAGTGGCGGCTGGTGTCCAGCTCTGAAGGCAGCGTTCTGCCAGCAGCGGCACAGAAGTAAGGGTGGCAATACCATACCGTGCCACCCGTACTTCTGCACTGCTGTCTTCAGTGCTAGGTGGCAGGAGAGCAGCACCTGCTGACTGAGGGCCCAGCTCTGCAGGCAGCAGCACATAAATAAAGGTGGCAATACCATATTGGGCTATATTAGTAGGAGCATTGCCAGCAGATCGAGGGAAGTGATTATTCCCCTCTACTCGGCACTGGTGGGGCCACATATGGAGTATTGCATCCAGTTTTGGTCCCCCCACTACAGAAGGGATGTGGACAAATTGGAGAGAATCCAGTGAAGGGCAACGAAAATGATTAGGGGCTGGGGCACATGACTTACAAGAAGAGGCTGAGGGAACTGGGGTTATTTAGTCTACAGAAGAGAAAAGTGAGGGGAGATTTGATAGCAGCTTTCAACTACCTGAAGGGGGGTTCCAAAGAGAATGGAGCTCGGCTTGTCTCCGTGGTGGCAGATGACCAAACAAGGAACAATGGTCTCAAGTTGCAGTGGGGGAGGTCTAGGTTGGAGATTAGGAAAAACTTTTTCACTAGGAGGGTGGTGAAGCACTGGAATGGGTTACCTAGGGAGGTGGTGGAATCTCCATCCATAGAGGTTTTTAGGGCCTAGCTTGACAGAGCCCTGGCTGGGATGATTTAGTGGGTGTTGGTCCTGCTTTGAGCAGGGGGTTGGACTAGAGGACCTCCTGAGGTCTCTTCCAACCCTAATCTTCTATGATTCTACCACACCATGCCATCCTTACTTCTGCACTGCTGCTGGCGGCATCTCTCCCAGTCAGCAGTCACCGCTCTCTAGCTGCCCAGCTCTGAAGGCAGAGATGTACCGCAACCTCCACTACAATAACTTTGCGATCCCCCCACAATTCTTTTTTGGGTCAGGACCCCTACAATTACAACACTGTGAAATTTCAGATTTAAATAGCTGAAATCATGAAATTTACCATTGTTAAAATCCTATGACTGTGAAATTGACCAGAATGGACCCTGAATTTGGTAGGGCCCTATCTATAAATTGACTGAACATAAATACCTAAAGTCATAGAGCAACAAGAGTGTAATGGGGGGAGAAGCTGATAACGATAGAGACCTGTTCTGCAAGAGAAAATATCACCTTTATCACCCTATTGATTGTGGGAATAACATAGCTACATTGCGCAAAGTGACATGCGACTCCCTTTGTTCAGAAAGATTTTTTTGAGCTCTCTGGAGCCTAGACGGTCTTATTTTATCTGTTTGTACAGCACTGTGATGCTTTGGGGATCACCTAGACGAATAAGATTTTCTGTCACTGCCAGTCCAGTAATCTTAGGGCCCTTTGTTCTGTGCAGCTCTGGTTTAATTCCTTGACACCAATAGCCACCCCACAAGCACAAGGTCTCACCCAAGGTCTTACGAGCTTATTACTCCTTGCAGGGTGAAACCAACAGCCCTTCAGTCCTGAGTCTCCCTAAATCTGTCCTTCTCAAGTTCTTAACTATCACACACCCTGACTGTTCCCCCTCTGGTTCATCACCCCCAGTGTGTGAAACCAGCCTGACAGTCATCACTTCACTTTGGGGGACACACTCCACACAGTTTGTACAACAGAGACCTGCCTGGGGTAAAAACAGACAAAAAGTTTATTTAATAGAAAAGTCAGAGATTCAGAGATGAAATAGGAAGGGAAAGCAAACAAACAGATTATGGGCACAACCTCAGACTTTATGCTTCCATATGAGATAAAATCTCTTTTCTAATACAAGTTACCTATTGCCTTTGAACCGTTTCCCAGCATACCCTTTAGCTATAGGGAGGATCCAGCAATTCATGTACAGAGTCTGCCAAGTGACTGTCCCTCAGTTTCTGGATGTCAAACCACAGGCACAAGTCTGTTTTTTAAAGGCTTTTTTTCCTTTTGTTTTCCTCCCTCTTGGTCCCTGGTGACTCATGTTTATTCAAACTGTGGAAAACTCCTCTTGATTTCAGAGCTGGAATGTCTGTCTTTCCATTAACTTTAGCGGGCCATGGCTGTCCTTTCTTGGGCTGGACAATGGGTGGGTACTTGAAGTGGTTTCATGTAAACAACTGGCTTGGGAGGTGTCTCTACCTGTCTGATCACTCACAGTCCTACTGTGAGGTGCAGTCAAAGCTTTATGAGCACAGTTCTCTATATTCACAAATACATAAAATCATAACCATAGTCTGTATACAAATCCTCCGATTATTAAAGTTTAGAACATTACAAGCTTTCATAAAAGACCTTACTCAACATGTTTTTATAGCACAAAAACATTCTATACAATCAGTCGATTCAACTCCTTATTCTTTGGGGTTTAAATCCCTTGTTCTCCTTCGGGGTGTCTGGACCGGGATTGTCACAAGCTTGTAGTACACCCGGTTCAGCTTCTTAACTGAGGCCTCTAAGATGCTACTGTAATACAAATAATGAATAACAGTAATAATTTGTACATCCCATCCACCCGTTCAATGCAAACCATAAGAATGCCTTCACAAGACAAAGCCTTTTGCAGGTGCAGGTGTGTGAAAACGGAGGAGTTAGTCTCATGAATGCCCATGGACACACAAATCACAGTCTAGCAAAATAAGACATATGTGGACCTTGGACAAACATAGTACATCTTCTCCGGGTGCCCAGTCTGACTTCCACTGAAGGCAATGGCAAAACTTCTATTTGGTTAGAAGATAAGGCTTTCCATGAAAAGTGAGAAGACTGTGATATAGGGGATGGTATAGACTGTGTGTAGGGCTCAAAGGATGTATAATGTCTTGCACAATGGGGTCATGGTCCGTGACTTGGGCTCCTAGGTGCTGCTATAATACAAATAATAGAAATATTTAATAAAGTTTTATAATTATACCTTCATTTAGTGTCAAATTAAGACCAAGGGGAACATCCCTAACTGAGCAGGTTACAGAAATACAAGGCATGGCACAATTTCATATTTTTCTTGTAAATGTGTGTGATGGATCAGAGAAACCTCTCACCAGCAGAAAAGAGGTTAAAGAGAGCCTATGGGCCCAGATAGTCCAATGGCAGGCCTGGAGGGGGAAGAAAAGGAGAGAAGCTGGCTCAGTTTAGGGCTGACTGGTGAAGAGGCTGAAGATAGTCCTGCCTCTCTACTGGAGGGGAGCCATCACTACAAGCCTGACAGACAGGACAACTGCTGTAGGAGAAGCACTCTTGACCGGGAGAGACTGTTGAGGAGACTGGGGAGCATCCAGCAGTGAGTGAACTTTACTATTTTGACTTTCAAGACATTGTGGGGCTTACATCCACCCTGCCCAGAGGACTTGAGGCTGTGGCAGGATGCAGCAGAAGCTCTACGAGGGGGCGCTTCTCAAGTTGAGCCACTACAGACTGTTTGGACGATAGGGGCTATGCCGCAAACTGAAGGGACATAGGTAGGAAGTAGCCCAGGGCAGTGGACTTGAATTCTCCGTTCAGAGGATCCTGCTGGCATTGCTTCCCACGGAGCCCTGGGCTAGGTCATGGTAGAGAGGGAGGGCTGGGGTCTCACTACTACACCCCCCCCCAAGGGCTGAGGCCCAGATTCAGGTGAAGGCCAGAAGATTCCCAGCCTAAGGTCAGGAACTAGTCACCCCTGCTGTCCGGTCAGAGAAACCATGGGCTGGAAGTCAGGTATGCTAACTGCTAGGCAGCCGGCCCTTCAAACACCGTATCACAATGTTCTTATTTTTAAAAAATGCCAGTCTGACAGCCCTGAAGACTAGAGTCTGCTGTTTATCTGCAGAACAAGTGCAGTCTGGGCAGTAGCTGTGCAAGCTATCTCTCTCTGTCCTGTCATTATGCCTCAGCCCTTACCTGGAGTGACAATCTCTTCCTTTGAGAGGGGTAGTTCAGCCCTTGTGCCTCTGTAGGGTGCTAATTGATGTCAATTGTGATGGTGCGTGTTTGGTTAATGCTGACACTTTTCCATTGGAAACTGGACTGAGATCCCGAACTCTTTTCACATAAGACCCCCTAACAGCCTTCAAATGGAAAACATTTCTAGTAATTACTGATGTTGACTGGGTTTGAACTGGGAACCTGGAAGTAAACCCCCTTATGTCCCATTACCAGTCCCGTGAGGCGTTCAATACTTCATCTTAACTTTACTCACACAGTTGCATAAAGCCCAACAGAACAACAATGAAACAATGTAGTTTTAATGCAGAACTGTTCCATAATGCATAGTGTGGTCAGAACTGGTAGCTGTTCTGGACTTGCACAATTTGTACTTGTTCTGGTTAATGTCTCTTTTGTTAGCTTACCTTTGTCAATAAAGAAAATCAATCCAAATAAAACTTGGCCTTGGATCAAGGCTTCATTTACCTTACTGTGGACAGATTCTGATATCAGGTCTGCTTCTGTAGTGACCTCTTCATGTACGAGAAGTT